ACGCATCCTCTAATGTCTTGGGTGTTCAAGTCGCAACGTCAGGCTTTTCCTGTAAATAAAGAGCGACTCTTTACAAAGATCTTTCATCTCCCGTGCATTTTGTGGCCCATCAGGCTAACACATACATTCCCAGCTGCAGAAGGGGAAGCCGCATCTCACAATGTTTAAGGATTCAATCTAATATAGATTATCGGTCCCAGTGGCCTTCAACGATGTCCATGAGGGGGACATCTGGGTGACTCGGGGTGCCTAGAGCACGGAGAGGTCATGGCAGGACTTGGACTTAAGCTTGAAGGCCATGTTCTTGTTGTTTTTGGCCACGATCTTGCCCCAGAAGCGCCTGGCTTTCCTGGGGATGCTCTCCCTCCTCTTCTGGTAGGCCAGCCGCCGCTCGTTCTTCTCCTTGCTGTCCCTCCGGAGGCGGACCTGTCGCACAATGCCCTCGAACAGCTCCTTCACGTTGTGCTGGACCGCCGCGGAGGTCTCGATGAACTTGCAGTCGAACACAACTGCACACGCTCTCCCTTCTGCGGGGAGAGGAAGGAAGAACTCAGAAGGGCTGTCCAGTGTGACCCTACCCAGCACACAGCAAAGCTGGGGATTCCTGGTCGTTAAGTGGCCCTCACAGTAACTCTGAGTCAGTCGCACATGCAATGAGTATGGGAAGCCCCTCTGACACACACATGTCCTCCCAGGGCATCATCAGAAGCAAGGAGTCTCCTGGAAGAAGATTCCTGGAAGCAAGAGAGGTGCGCTTTAGACCTGGCCCCCCAAATTCACGGCATGAAGGTCCCAGTTCATCAGAATAGTAATATTTATTGTAACAGTCAAAACCATAGCCTTAATGTATCGCACTTACCACATGCTGGGAATTGCTTTGTAAAACCTTTTTTAATGCAGACAATCTTGGAAAATACATTATCCCTCTCAGATAGATAAAGTCACTGGGGGAAGGGCGGTCTTTTAAAAACTTGAGGGAGTTCACACAGCCTCTGAGTGGCATCTGTGAATCCAGGCCTGCTTCATGCTCAAGCTCATATTCATATATACATATATATATGTTTTATTGATTTTTTACAGAGAGGAAAGGAGAGGGATAGAGAGTTAGAAACATCGATGAGAGAGAAACATCGATCAGCTGCCTCCTGCACACTCCCGACTGGGGATGTGCCCACAACCCAGGTACATGCCCTTGACTAGAATTGAATCTGGGACCCTTCAGTCCGCAGGCCGATGCCCGTGAGCCAAACCGGCTAGGGCTCAAGCTCATATTCTTAACTCTTCCTCCTGACTCAATTTCCTGAATTGAAAATAAGAATCCTACTACTTGGCTTTCTCCCTTTAAAAAACTTTTTAAAGTTTTGATGAGCTATTTTGAAAAAAATAATTTGAGGAATTCACAAATTCAGCCAACTGTCCAAGCTTTTCAGGAACAGCCTCAACTGCAAATGTTTCATTGTGTTTAATGACCATGTGTCCAAGGTTTGGTTTGAAAAAAGTGATTACCACAGACACTCATTTCCTGACACTCCCAAACAAGGTGTGTCCATTAAGCCTCTAACAGATATCTTTTCTCCTGAGCAGAGCCTGGTAATGCAGTATTTTATTTTTTAACCATTGTACCAAACCCAAAGGATATCTTAACTGAAATTTAGGAAGCAAAGGGTAGGAGGGTGTTTCTACGGTCTATAGGAGCTAGAGGCAGCCTGAGTAGAATTCTTATCCTCAATGAAATTCAGTTCCCCTAAGTCAGAGTTCCCATGCTTCTTGTATGAAGATACTACCTCTACTTCTCTGAACTCTTTGAGATCTCCCTGGAACACAGAAAGGACCAGCAGAAAAGGCTTGGGATTGTCAGTAAACCCTTGAGTATGATATCTTCCCTAAAGGAATCTCAGGGAAACCTTTGGGTGTGGGGAGATTGGACTCCTGCAGGTAGACCAGATGAACAAGGCAGCAGCACCCAGCACAGGGATGATTGGCTGGGGATACATACAACTTCAGAAAGCACTTGATTGAGTCCCTAGTTCCATCTGCATGAAAGAGCCAAGGAAGAATACCTGTTTGAAAGAAAACCCAGAGAGTGTTTCTATGGTCTTAGCACCAGCCCTCTTACCTGAAATAGACACTTCCCGGCACCGCACCAGGTCACTCTTGTTGCCAACCAAAATGATAGGGATGTCCTCTGTCTGCCGGGCCCTGCGAAGCTGGATCCGCAGCTCGGATGCCTTCTCAAAACTGGCTCGGTCTGTGATGGAGTAGACGATCAGGTAGGCGTCCCCGACCTGCATGCAGTGGTCCTGCAGCCACTCGTTCTCCCCCTAATGGAATGAGAGGGTCTCCCGTGAGCGCAGGTTGGCCTGGTGAATGAGGCTTCCGTTTGCAAAATAAGTGTATCTCAAAGTACCCTAGCTGGTCTGAGATAGAAATAAAACTTGTTCCAACTCCACAAAACGCATCATGTCTGGTGGCTGTAAAGACTGCTAGCCCATAAAGTACTTGCCAAAAAGCTTTTACTGTCCAATGGAGTTGACAACTTATACAATGACTCTGCCAAACATTTCCATTCTCTGTCTAAAATTCTAAAAATGTGCCTTTTCTGACTTCCCAAAAACTCCCTTTGCCTTTCCCAGGTGATAAAATTAAGAATCGTCTTGCGAGAATTAGGAGGCTTTTCAATAAACAGAACGTCTAGCATATATACACAGAAGCCCAAATCTTTAAAAAGCAAATGTTGAAGGCTAGTATTGAGACTGTCAACTTTATATAATGTGGTTTTATATAGTTTACTAGTGAAATTACCATTCACACTTGTTGGCTCTCTTAAAACAA